GCTGAAGTATTATTCCGGATATGTAAGTAAAATTACTTCATTATGGATTTTTAGGGTGTGCTCCTTTACGATGGTTGATATTATATATAGAGATAATTATTAAACGTTTTAAGTTTTATTAAATATAAGACTTCTCGCATCATTATCGAATTTAAAACAACTTAATAGCTAATTATTTATAAAAATATTGAGCTCTTTATATACTTACATATTTATACACTAACATGGGAACCTTATCTCTATTCCACGCTCTGTTATTGGTCGTATACTCATATCCCCCCTGCGTTTTCCATAAATTACTTTTCCTAATTCTAAAAGCCACAATTACTTAACATTTAACTAAATATTTATTAAAAAAGAAAATACACCAATAACTTTCCGCTTTTAGCGATGAATGCTTGCCTCTTACTCCAGGATATTGCTATTAAATTTTCCAAAATTGTTAGAAACTTGTAAACAATTGAGCAAATGTCCTTTGCGTGACCTCTTAACATAATTTAAAGTTGTTATCTAAAACATTTATGTTTGAACTCCTCTTAACGTTTTGTGATATTTTAACATTTTTGCGACACAGTCAAGCACACATAGAGATCTTCAAAGCCATTTGGACACACATAGATGCTACGCTTATTATGAGGAATCCACAAAAGCATAAAAACAAGACATTAAGTTAATGACCTTCTGTTTATTTTGAGATATATTTCCTTTATATTTCGTTGGCTATATTTTTTGTGTATTTTAGTTTTAAAACTTGTAGCCACAAGTTTAATAAATATTATTGTAACAAATTGCCTTGTAGCGTAAACGCATCGTTACTTCTGCGCATCCTGGGGCCATTTCGGTATGTCGTTCCCTTCGTAATGCTCGATACAACCTACAGGATATTCTCCCAAATATCTGTGTTTGTGTCTGTGTTCGTGTGTTTGAGTTCATGTTTTAGTTTTACTTTTTGTTTCATATCTTGTTTGGTTGTTGCTCTTACTCTTCCTATTATTACTGGTGGTGGTGTTGTTGTTGTTGCTGTTGCTGTTGTTGGCTATGTACACATGTATACATTCGAATTTGGCTTTATGCGTGTGTGCATGCGTACGTGTATGTGTTCGTTTATCGTTGCTCTTGTTGCTACAATATATCGCATGTTTCTCATGCGATGGCCCCAAGGATGTTATGATAAACATTGAATTAAGTATCCTTACATCAAGATAGCGTTGAGCAGTAGGATATATGTTGCTTTTGTTGTCGAAATTGCTTTTGTTTTTAACTTTTCATATTTGCAATGCCTTGTTTTGTTGTTGTGTTGCTGTGTTGTTGCGTTGTTTTGTTTGCTGTTCGAAATGTTGCGGTTCGTTAGTAGTGTGCAATTATGTCAACCGCTATGTTTCCAAGGACAACATTTGTGCTATCCATACTCCTTACTCTCAGCCCGCAACTCGCAGCTCGCAGCTCGCAGCATATTATTCTCCTATTTAGAAGATTGATTTTTGACGGAGTTGATTTTGATTTGATTTAATACGTTTTTAATGCGATTTACAGAATATTAACCACAAACTTTTTCGACATCTGTTCCAGTATCATCCTGCTAATGAGATACGCACTTAAATTGTAATCGAGCAAAGGTAAATTTTTCCCGTTTGATTTATTGTTTCAATTATGAGAAGCTGAAATACGCGCCGTACCGCTGATGATGATGAAGATTTTAATGGAAGCAAACAATGAAGCCATGAAAATGGAATATTAACGCAAATAAATAAATATTTGTGTTTTTGTGTAAATAATGAATGATTTAAAATGGATGGAAATGAATATCAGCATTGAAAAGCAAAATATTTGTAAAGCTTTTATGTATTATTCGTTTCAAAAACATTAGCTTTACTTAATCACAATGATAAACTATAAAAATGGAAGTAACGATTGATTCATTTTGTCAGAAAGTTATTGCCAAAGAGAAAATTATATTTATTTTATTTAAATTATTATTGTCTGAAATAAGTACTTGACTATATGCACCGATTAAGATGGAAACATATGAAGATATAGCAAAAGTTATTATCTTACTTATTTATAATCTTTTCAAACGAATTTGTTAAGCCTGATCAACTTCGTGGAACAGGATTAGGTGCTCAAACTTGTTGTTAAACATGATTAAGCTTACACAGCTGTTAGTGTAAAAACAAGTTTAAAAACATGTTTGACTATAAACTGCACAGGATTACATCAAATAAATTCTTAAATACTTACAAAATTCTTTAATGTCAGTATGTATCAGTATCAATAATATAATAGCCCAATATAGTTTATTTGAATTTGAATTTTGTAAAATGACTTAAAAATTGTTAATCTCATTAAAGTGAATAAAAATTTATAGAGTTATGGGGTAATTTTAATTGAGAATTGATTTCAGCAAAAATGAACTCAAGTATATACGCCAAGCTTTTGAAAGAGCTACGGAATTAGTATTATTTTAATCTCTATTAACAATGTCAGCAAAATGGCACAATGACAAACAAATTAAATATGTTTAGTCTGTTTAAAATGAAAAGTTTTCTCAGTGTTTTCACATTAAGCATGTTAAGTTAAGTTTCTCTTTAAAATTACTGTTATCATATATATATATAAATATCTTATATATAAAATTAACATTGTCAGAATGTTAGTTACCGTACTCCTCCGAAACGGCTTTACCGATTTTTATCAAATTTTATATGCGTATTCAGTAGGTCTGGGAATCGGCTACTATCTATTTTTCATACCGCTAAAGTGATTAGGGTGTCCCTATCCAGCAAAAATATCTTTATTGCTTTAACAAATAGTTTTTTATTTTTTTGACATAAATTTTTTTATATTTTTGAAAAAGAAAACTTGCTATGATATGAAAAGTTGTTGTCTATGAAAATACTGAATTCATAAAACTGCCCCTAATTTCTGCACTATCGTTGATTCCCAAAATGCTCTCATTGACCGCGTATTTCCAGATGTACACATACAATACATAAATCATGGGTGGCTGGCAGAAAGAGCCATTAGCAGCAAAAAAACGTGGACGTTGATGAATTAAACTTCAAGATAAAACAGACTAGATCACCGATTATTTTACTTCGGAATTTGAACCCACCACGGCTATGCAATAGTACGCGATTGGTAATTAAAAAATTGATGAAAAACATTATCGAAGCCACCATTTTGAATGGCAAGTTCCGAAACGAAAAAGTTTTATTGCCACGAATTCCAATGATTCTCACAGACAAGCCAATTTAATTCAAACGCGTTCAATTTCCTATTAGATTGGCATT